CAAAGAATACTATTCCACACAACCAGCTACAGCAATCCCTTGTGAAAAGCAGATTCATTAAATGAGCTTCTCCGACAGTTTATGGCCAGCCCCTTTCAGAAACCAGAAAATTGTACTTCAAATTCTTATTCCAAATTCAAATTCCTATTCAACCTGGTTTATTGACCAGCAGCATCAGCACCACTTAAGGGCTCATTAGAAATGCAAAATCTCAGGTCCCACTCCAGACCTACTGTCACATGAGTTTGCTATATTATTTGAGAATATTTAATTCTGTTATAGAGGTCAAGAAAACAAAAGGGATGGATGAAACTCATAGGAAATGATAATCATAGATGGCAAATAAGATAACAGCTTATGAGACCGATAAAGGCAACATTCACAGGCCCAGTTAAATATAGGTAATGAGAATGCAAGCTGGTGAAAAAAGGAAGTCAAAAGGTATGTTAAAATAGGTAATTAGTAACCTGTAAGATATGATGAAAATAAAATAAATAAAAAATATGATGGAACAAATGAAGTTTACTTATAGACAGAAAAGGATGGAAAGACCAAGTCATCATTAAGCCACCTCTGGACTGACAGCTATGTCACCTCCATGTGAGCCACCCACTGAAGACACAGGTCCTATTCTGATACCACAGGTGCTCTATCCAAGAAAAGCAAATAAAATCCTTGGCTCATCAGCAGGCAAATTGGCAAAGATACAGCTGTACCCAGGTGCACTTGTCCCACATCTCTTCAACAGAGCAAGTGTGTATCATTGACCCAGGGCATCACTAGTCTGTGGAGTCTTAGGTTAAATATCAACTCTGGTCCTCATAACCACAACATCAATTGGGAAGGCTGATGTGAAAGACAGGACATTTTAATACTGTATATCCAGGATCCAGGTAGAGTGGTCCTTCCAACCTTGTTTGCACCTTCTGTTAAGTGTGTTAACTTACTCCATGGCTTACCTCTTGCTTCTAGATTTGTGTTTTAAATTGATTTGATAAACGGTGTGTTTTAAGTATTTTAATTTAGCTGCTGAACCCTTCTACTCCATAACCTCTGATACAACTTGCCTGGTAATGTTCTTGAAGGCTAACCATTGCATTAAGGTAATTTCCCACAGAGTACCTATTGAATCAGAATCTGCATTTTAACAAGATCCCCAGATGATTCACAGGCATATTAAAGGTTAAGATGCAATGACAAAACTTTTAGAAAGAGGAACCTCCACAAAGACAAAAAATTCGATCTCTGAACTGTGCTCCTATGTTCCGATCACCATCCTGCACAAAAGGCTTCATGTGCCCCTGACAATGACTCAGCACCCCAAAAGAGGGAGAGAATACAAATAGATCCATTTTCAATGACGATCATGTAAGATTGAAAGAGCATTGCTGCCCTTGCAGATTCTCCTTTGAACTGTAAAGCTCCATGCAATTTGAGAAAACACTCAAAGAATAACACAATGCACCTCAACATTAACTCTGCAATCTCTTTGTAGGGAGTTAGGAAAATCTCCTTTTTCTGATATGCTATGTTTCAAGAATACCAGCCCAAATGACCTAAGGGTACCAGAAACAGAGAAAGAGTTGTAATGTGCTTAATGAGGTTTCAGGGACCCTAAAAAGGTCATCAAGAACAGAGTTGAACAGAACAGCCTGAGAAGCTTCCTTAATGGGCTATCCACTTCGCACCTACCAGCAGATCCTGACTTGGTTAGCTCCAGTCATTTTATGTACTTATTATATTTGCGTTGTTCCTGACACATATTAGGGGCTCAGTAAATGTTCTGAATTAATACAAAAAATAATGACCTATGTTACCCTCTTTATCCTTGACCCATCTAAACCAAATTTACTTTAATTCAGTCCATTGGCTTTGAGAAATTCCGAGAATGAAGGCATGATTTTACATCTCAGATTAGCATGGTTCATAATATTTTCCCAGTCCATATCTCAAAGTTGGGTTTTATATTTTCTATTATTAATCGCATTCTAGTATTCCATACCCTATGAAACACATTAACCTATCCAACAAGAAACAACTGTAACCGTGAAAGACAGGGGATCATACTAACTGCTGGCCAGCAATACAATCCAACCATTTTTTAAAGTCACTAACAAATATAAGGAATATGCTACACAGGAAAGATCAGCTATTATTTTGATGTTTCTCTAGGTCCAGATTTAAGACATCTTAGGGAAATAACTGTTTAAAAACATCTATGAAAGAACTGAATGAGATACTGAAGACAATATCATACACACAAAGAACATAAACAAGACTTAAAACAAAAGACTCAGGTGTTGGGAATATTTAATATAATAAAGAATAAAAGGACAATATCAGAAAAAGAACGTAAAAGTTCTAAAAACCATTTTCAGAAGGAATATGTTCTCTATTCCTTCCAAAAGAGGAGTATGTTTAAATTTCAAAGGAAAAGATTTAGGTTAGAAATCATAACTTTCCATCCCATAAATAAAGCTTTATGAAAAGAATAAGGAAACACATAGAGAATGAGTAGGTGTACTCCTTTACAAGAAATCCATCAAATCCCTTTTGCTCTGTGCATTTAGTACAGCCAAGTACCATTAAAGGACTCATAGGGCATTAGACATTTTGGTATGGTTTTTGACACTGTGTTACTTGGGTTTTAAATACAATGTGTTTAAGAACTGACTCTACAGACTCACCAAGGAAAGAAGTAATCATTGATTTTTGTGTCTTTTGCAGCTAACAACATGATAGGACACACATGATAAGGCTTCAACAAATACTTACTGAACTTAATTAGGTATTACCACCCTCTGAGGCAAAAAATCTTAATTGGAGAATAACCTAAACAGTACCACCATCACCATCAGTACAAAGAGGCTCTCAAAATTTCCAAGTGAATCCACTTGCATGTTAAACAATGGAAGCAACAAAAAAGAGCAACTGCCTTATTCATTACAAAGGGCTAAGAATGAATCTTCTGTTTGCAAACTTAATCCACTCCAACTAGTCCTGTTAACTGCCTAACAAAATGCAATGCATTATCTTTGTTTCACAAATCTTATGTTTTATCTAAGTTCTTGATGAAATGTGTTAAACTTAAATGTAGGTAATCTATTTTCATTTTTTGCTATATAAAACTCAGTCTCTTTATTATATAAAAATTAAGGGAAAAATGCTTATTGTTATAAGCAATAATAGCAAAAATCACCTGAATTTCAAAATATCATCCAAAAAGCTAGTCTGTTCATATGTTCATATACTTATTTCAGTAGTAAATCTTTTAAAATCTATTAAACCTACTACTATGTAGTTAAGTTTTGTGTAGCACAGGACTCAAATACAAGGCTGGTGTCCCATTTGGTTGAGTGGGTAGTGTTCCACTTGACAAATTTTCATAAGCTGCTATCCTCCTATTAAAAAGTCACTGAGTTTAACAAGCGTCATGAAGAGTTAATTTCAGTTACTCCTGCTTTGCTCAATGTGAAACAACTTAGTGTTATTGCTTTCTTCCTAAGAGGTAGAAAGATGATATTCAAAGGGGACATGAATTGTGAAATTTAGGAGCTCAGTGGATAGGCTTGAGGGAAAGGCACATTTGAAGACAGTGCCTAGAGTTGGGAATAAGGGGCATGGGGAAGGAAGGCAGGGAAAGGAGAAAGAGAATAACAAAGGAAGCACTACAAAAAACCTAAGCTTACTTTCAAAGTAGATTCACATCTCTATTTTAAACACAGTTTTAACTTGACATGATGCTTTCTGATCCAGAACTTCTGCCTTACACTAAAAAAACGAAAGTTTGCCTGCTAACACCTGTAAATAATTTCATAGATTATTACTTTATTTCGAAATAGTATTTCTTAATGCAATGTCAGATTTCTCTTGGAATATTTCTACATAAATTATATATCTCACAGACTTATATAGAAGTTCACAAAATGTAAGTAACAGTAGAAAGTGATTTTAGATTTTGAGGAGAAAATTTACAAAGGTATGATATCAAATCCCAAATCTATCATATATACACACTGAATAAGCTAGAAGCCCCTAGACAGTGGTTTCAAACTATACATTCTGCTACCATCCTCCAGATTCCCCAAAGAAGGGCATGCCAGAACGTTAGGACTAAGCTGGTAGACAAGAACACTTTGAAAAAGCACTCCAGGAGATTCCGATACTCAACTAACCCCTCTTGCCCTATTGCAATTATCCGCTACTAACTGTCCATCACCCACTGCTGATGTATTTTGTGCTATTTTTCTGTACCAAATGTTAACTAAGTGAAGTCATTAATATCGAGCATCTGAATTCAACTGGCATTTATCCAGTTTTGAAGAGGTAAAAATAAATCCATGAATGGCAAATCAATTTTACTTCCTTTCACAAAATTTCATTTTAAAGCTACATAACAAATTCTGAACTCAAAACTGTTTACAGTCATAGCTTTTCATTCAAAGCATTTAAGTCAGTTAATATATTCCATAAATCAAATTTTCACTACCAAGTAGGAGCACAAAAAAAAGTTCCAACAACATTCCTCACAATCCACATACACTTAAGGAATAACTTAGATTTTTTAAGCAAGTAAATAAAGAACATTATCTCAACATTATCATAATTTTCCCATTGTGCATTATACCTCATATCTTACAGTGTGTAGATTCAGAAAGTGTTATTATTTATGGTTTTAGATAAAGCCAAAGTAATTATATTTCAAACTACCACTCCTGGTTTTCAGTGTTCCTATTATTCATACTCCAGTCCATTGGAATGTATCTCACAATCCTCAAACTTCTTCAACTTCAATATTTCTCACTGTTGGTTTATGCCACTATAAAGCACATTAAGAAATGTAATTGATATCTCTCAAACTCCAAACTTTTAAAATCACCTGATAACAGGTATATATCAACAATTTTGAATTCCTTACAAAAACTTCTATCAGTTGTCAAAATCTATTCTGCCTTCAGTTAGGCCCCAATACTAAAAGCAAACTGAGAAAACAAACTTACCTTAATTGGAGCACTACTAAACTTAATTTTCCTATTTGCTGGGATTTCTTCTTCTTCTGGCAATCCCATGATTTCTGAGTATTCCAGATCGGGCTGATAGTAATTGTTCTCATCACTATCTTCCTCCTCATCCTGCTCAGTGCCTGTCTCTCCCCAGTCTGAATTATACCTGGATCTCACCCTATACACATTATAGTCACTGTGCATGTATACATGGGCACTCTCCAAATTATGTGAATCTTCAGGTACTTCTTTTCCACAACCGGACTCAGAAGCATCAGGAGAAGTGAAATCACCACCTGCAAGTTCTTTCCTCTGTTGCTTTGCTGTCTCATTCCCAACCAAATTAGCTTCAGCATCTTCTAAAGGTTTGCTCTGTGGTGAAAGGATTTCCGACTTGGGCATTGCCTTATTTTCAGCACAAGGTTCTTCAGGAATGTTTTTGTCGGTTCTGTCAGGAGTCTCCTGGTTAGATGTGGCGTCCTTGGCTTCCTTGCTCTGCTGTATCTCTTCACTAGGCATCAAAGCTAGAGAGGTACTTTTAGAAACCACTTCTAGCACTGGAGCTGAATTACACTTCTGAGCATCCTCTGTATCAACACCTTGTTTATTTGAAGGAGACCAAGAATTAGAATCCTTAAGGTGGCCAAAGGTGTCAATATTTGTAACAGTAACAGATGGCAAGTTCAGGGGATAATGCCCAGTCACTGAGTATTCACTGCTTTCAGCCTTCTCGGAAATGATGGCACTGGGGGAATCAGTGTTCTCAAATACTGCACTCAGTTGACTCACAGTTGGGGAGACAGCCTCAGTCCGGGAGCTAAGGCTGTCCAAGGAATCAGTACTGCCTCTGTTGGACTTGGAACCACCCCATTCATCCTGTGCTTCACTCCCTCCAGCTTTCTCTTTCTTTGGAGAATAGCGGTTATTTTGTCCTGACTCATGCACACTTCTCTCAAACATCTTCCGAGTCTCCGTGAACTTAGAATATGAAGGGCCATCGTACATTGTGTCAAATCTACTAATTCGTTCAGAAACAGAGGACTCCAATTTAACAACCGAGCCATCTGTTTTCTCCAGAAATTCTTTGGGCTTCATTCTTCTCTGAGGAGATGAAGGTCCACCTTTCCCCCTTGTTTTGGCAATGACTGTGGCATTCTCATTGGGTTCCATACCCATCTGCATAAATAGATTTTTAATTCTGTTGACATTGGATCCATATTTCCTCCCCCTGCTCTGCTGGGAGCCCTCACCTTCTTTTGTTTTTTGTTCCCCATCTGACTTGGGTTTGTCAAAGGTACTTTTCAGTGCCTGGAACTCAGTTCTATATGCATTTCTGTGAGGAGAGGCACTTCTGAGAGTGGTTCGTTCACCTGAAGACTCAGTTTTCAACATTTTTACTTCAGGGGTGAAAAGCCAATGTTCATAATGATCAGAAAGGAAAAAAAATACCTCTCTTCTCTAATCACCAGTATTTGGTCAAGAAAAGTACCTCTCAAACAGCATACTCTGCCAGTGATCGTCCCAACAGGTGTATTAGGAAATTATTCACAGTCAAGAGTTATACAAAATGGCTTTTTCAAAGCAAGACTAGAGGTTCATCTGTAATAGAAAAGAATGAATTTCTGATTCGTATACTTATCTGAATACATGTTTAGTCAACTAATATACACTTTATTTTCCAAGTGGCTTAGTCACATGTCAAACAGAAGAAATTACTTACTGAAATGGGAACTTAAAAGTCAAGAAGTTAAAAGTTATCATTCTAAATGGTCTTTGTTAACAAAACTGTTTCAAACAATTTGGACATCCCTACCAAAATCACACACATGTTACACATGAGTACATTTGAAAGCAATACTTTAGTCCAACTTTTGGTTGCTTGTAATTTACCTTAAAAGAAACCAGCAGTTCATAGATCTTTAAGAAATCATCAGACTGTCCAGAAAATCACCTTCACTTGCGATTCTCCATAATCAATTAGAACTTATTCTTTCTCAGTACAATTAAAAGTTTGGAATCTATGTTTACAAACTCCAAAACATGCCTACTGAGGCTTATTTCACTCTTGCTGGTCCAATATTCTCATCTACAACTTCTGCAATTTCAGACCCAAACAAGCAGAAAAAAGTTCTTGAGTGGCAATAAGTTTCACTCTAAAGTTCAGTTATACCAAATATTTGGAAGTTTCCTATCAGTGGATATTAATTACAGAGTGGGATGCAGACTATCACGGGAATAAATGCACGAGAATGTGACGATCAGAAAACAAATATACCATGACACCTCTTTTCATAGCCGTGATTTGTTTATTCCTTCTTGTCTCTAACTTACTAATAGCTCAAAACATAACGCAATGCATGCTTGCTGGTCTGTAGCCCACAGCTGGATTTTATATCAATATGCGAGCAATCAAATACTTCAAGATCTGCTGAGGAGTAGACAGTGAAGTTCTAAAGATTTTTCATTTTGTTTTTGTTTTGTTTTGCTTTAGTATTAGACCAAGCCACATCACCCTCACGCACAATCAGCTGAGGAAACACACACTTTCACTTAAATCCTCTCCAAACTCGGCTCCTGGCCCAGCACGCATGCATGGCCCATGCAGACAAACAAGAAAGGCTTTAGAGTGTGGCGCCTGTTTTTTTCTCTTTTTGTAAAGCATCGACAACCTCTTTTTTCCTCTGACATTTTTTTAAAGCCATAAACACCCTCCCCTCTCCCCTACACACACAGCCCCATTCCCTCCCCCGCCAATTCGAACCCGAGGGGGCGGGGGCGGGGGCGATCTGGCCGCCGGGGGACTCAAAACCTGCCCTCACAAAAGACAAACATAAATAACACCAACTTGAGAGGCAGCCGATTCCCAAGCCTGGTTCGGGGACGCAATCCCTCGGCCCCGGGGCAGGGCCGGGAGAGCAGGTGACGCCAAGCGCTATGGTAGGAGGTCGCAGTCTAGCTTTGTGCCAAAAAGCACCTGAAGTCCTAACACATTGGCTGCGGCTCCCAGCGGCTGCCAGGCGGATCCCAGTGTGGCACAGGGAAAGACGAGCTCCCTAGCCACATTAAAAAAAGAAAGGAAGGAAGAAATTACAGGGTACTGATAATAAATCCCTTTGTTTTTCCTCCCAATGTGCCAGGAAACAATAGGTCCCACTGATAATGCCTCCGATCTTCAACCTATCGCTCCCCAACCGCAGCCCACCCCCACCCTGCAACTCAGCCTTTGTACATGCCGTTTTCTCCTCATCTCCACCCTCCCCAAGTCCTCGCCCCGCGCACAGCCTCCCCCTTACCCGAGCGGGAGCGCCCGCGGGCGGGGAGGGTCGGCCGCCGCGGCCCCCACCCCCCCCTCGCAGGCGCCCCCCGCCCCACGGTG